TATCAAGGCGTTTGTTCATGAAAAGGCCTAAAGCAGTGCAGGTTCAAATGAAAACGTTACAATCAAACAAGTAAAAGGAGAAAACATAATACGAATGTAACAAAGCTAGAAAGACGAGAGGACGAAGCAGAGTTGGGCAGCCTTGGATAATCAATTGGAGAAGGCATAACACATTCATCTCCATTGAACAAGATTCTCCTTGGAAAAGCCCAGCCTTCTCTTAAACTGAAGAAGTTCCCCATGTCCTTCGTTAGCAACATCTCTGTTTGCACATTCCCAATCTCTCCAGCTTGAATCAGTACATCATTGTAAAACTTGAATCCCCAATCTGAAACCATACCAAGAAGAGCTAAAGACTTAAAAGATGTAATAATTAGAATGAAAAAAAAAAAAATAAGAAGCTACTTACTGATGCTGCTGTGAAGAGGTGGTATGGCTTTGTAGTTAAAGCTGAAGACTCGTGACACGTTATTCAAGTTTGGATGTTGCACCACTAAGTTCCAGTCAGAGTAATTCCTCCTCGTGTTTAGATTCGTTGCGGTGATCTTAACCCTCCAATACTCTTTGTAGTTCACTTTAACATGCCAGTGAATGTGTATGGGACACATATGTTTTGTACACTGCACCACAGGAGATACTTCCTCGTGTGGATCATGCTTCTGTTTCAAAAATGACGGCACCACACCAGACCTGAACAAGCCAGCAAGAAAAAAAAAACCTCGAGTTATTTCTTATGACACAAGGCATAACAAAACATTGATAATTACTTGACGCAATGGGAACTCGAGCAGCCGCAGCTACATGTAGGGCAAGGAACTATGTTTTCGTAGTAGAAGGCAGAGAGTGAAACGCAGCATTTTGGTGATTGTGATGACTTCAACTGCGAGTACAGGCACTCTGCTTCCCATGTTGCTGCTCTCAACATCAACACATAACACCAAAAATGTATGTCAAGTGACTTAAACACATACTTTTTTAACAGGCAACACTTAAAAATGCATGAGTAATTTTATTATAAACATATACTTTTTTATTTAGCGGACATGTCCATTAAATAAACATGTCCACTAAATAAATGGGATTAAATGGACCAATACTTTTATATGATATAAACACATTTTTAACTATCTCTAGTCATGTTGATAGAAAAAATAGCAAGGTTGATTCAGCTAGAAGAATATGGATTTATTTTACCTAGAGCTTGTGTTTTGCGTCGACCCTTATCAGTACTATACTTAGTAGGTGCCACGGACGTGGCATTGCCGCAGGTATAACCAGGGACCCCTATATCAAAATCATGAGGCATAGTGAACTCTCCAGGGTAACCAGGAAAGCTTCCGAGTGTCATGTGGAAAGCAGAGACGTGGTTGGTTTGGTCCTGAGACATAGAAGTCAAGACACCTCCACGGCAGCAGTTAGAGACTTGCATGTTGAAAGGAGCTCCGGGGAGAAGGTCGACGATGGTTGGTCGCCTGAGACAGCAGTGAGGGAGTGTTTCGCTGGAGGCAAAGGCTGAGCAGTTGCCTTGCTCCGTTGTCTCAGCTCCTCTCATGTCCCATATCACTGTTTTGTTTACCCAATGCCAACTCAGCTTCCATCCTGGCTTCTCCACGTGGCGGTACTCTTGCACGTTCTCTAATTTTACTAGTACCTGTAACATTTTTATTTTATTTTCCAAAGCATTTAAGTATATAATCAGACTTTATAAAACGTCAATACAACCACATAAAAATAATCAGATTTTACAGATGTAACGACAATAGTTTAATACTGTTGACAAAATCTCAAGCTGAAGATTCGAACGCTAATTAAATCATTTTGTATTTCAATAAAAAATATCATTTTATATAATTTTTTTTAATATAAAACAACAAACCTTAGCAAAAACTATGCTGAGGAAATAATAAGAAGAAAAATTTACTGTGTGCTGGCCAGGTGAGGAGTGTAAAAGATCCCATTTGATGATCATTTTACCATATGGATCCAATGGGTCGTACCCATCTGCAACCATTTGATCACTAATTAATAATCATACTGAGAAAACTAAAATTACATTTATGTAAAGAAAGAAAAGACTTACGTGTGGATGGCGAGATCGTAAAGAGGATAAAAGTGACTGCAAGCAAAAGCTTTAGCATTGCATTCATATGTTTGTATTGCAAATGATGAACAGACGAAAACGAGAAGAAACAAATTTTATTTTCTAAAAGAGAGAGAAAGAGGTAGAATTCTCAAGAGTTAAGTGTGACGACTCGTGTTTCCATGTTTAAGAGAAAGTTTTTTTTTTTGTGCACAAGAGAGAAAGATAATTAAAGCAAAGAAGTGGTTCAGTGTGACTGTCAGTGCTTGAACGAAGAGTTTTGCATTTTGTGAACACTCTTTACCCTTTTTTACTATTTTTGGTTTTTACATACTTTTATTTTTATTTAGTTATTAGCTGTAAACTTAACTCGGTTTGCCTTACTTGCACAAATGTATATGGTGTACATTGGTGGGTGGCAGCTGTTAATTCTATAAGTGTGAGAGAGATTATATAACGCTTCACGTTCTCTTCTTCCTCAATTTGTATTTAAATAAGTTTTTATTTTCTAAATCGTATGGTTTTGGATTAATCTAGACCGTATAGCTTGTTCTCTTTCTGATTGCATTTGTCATACTACTTTTTCTAAATCGAAAGATAAACCAATTTGTACATTGCAATTATAAGCCTCATATGATTCACATGCAATTAAAAATGTTGACCAAGGGGATAAATCATAGATCAAAGATGAGATTTGTAACTAGAGAAGAATGTCTCAGGAAGTGTTTTTCATGAGACTCAGACATCAGAAAAGCTCGTTTCACGCGCTCTTTGGAATTCTTGTTTTTTTTTTTATCACTAATAATATCGAACGAATCATGATCAACATTAACGTGCGTCAATAGATGAAAGAAATTACAGTATCAGTTTTGCTAAGGAATAAGGATACAAAAAAAAAAAGAAGGATACAAACCAAAAATCATAATGATCAGGTTTGGTTCGATTGATAGGATTGTGAATGGCTTAGTTGGTTCAGTAAGTTTGATCGGTTAGGTAACTTTTAGGTTGGCATTTCAAAAAAAAAAAAAAAACTTAGTTGGCACTTTGTTTACATGCACTTGCATAATTCAGTGCCATTAGACAATACAAATATCCAATAGTAAAAAACAACCTCACTTTTTAGGTCAGTAAAAAAACTCACTTTTTAGGTGACAATTTTCTTCATAATAAATACACTACATAAAAGTATATATGGAAATTCTTGTTCTATGATGTTGTTTTCTTTTTTTTTGGTAATCCGGGGGTTCCCCACTTCGTGGGACATTCCCCTGAATCCAGTTATACAGCGGTCCAATTCATCTGGGAGGGCTTTACCTAGACTGGGGACAAGGCCGCCCAACACCCAGTACCGCATTTGGTGACAAGATTCGACAGTTCCCCTCCACCTAGAGTCGAACCCGTGAGTATGATAATTGACTCACAAGATCTTTACCAAATAAGCTACCTCATTCCGTCGAAATTCTGTGATGTTGTTATCAACCAAATAGTTTCGATTTAAATATGCATGACAAGAAATCCAGTGATAAATTTTCAAACTGCATGACTCATGATGATATTCATTTTTTTTGAAACATTTAAGTTTTATTGGATAGAGTTCTTAATTGGTAATAAGAACCAGTGGTGGAGACACATAAAGTAAGAGGTGGCATCTGATCCCAACTCATTTTGAAAATTCTATGTAAAACATTGACTAATATTACATATGCCCCCATGATTTTAACAAAACTATCTTTAGTTTTATGAACAGATTTAATCAGGCCCCCTAAAAAAAATCACTCTACCTCCGCCACTGAATCGGACCCATAGTTTCATAAAACAACTGAGTTACTTTTGTCTTCCCCACAAGCAGCACATTGGAAAGTTTTAAAAATAAGTTAGGGCCTTGAACGCGAGGGGAACGAGCTCGGCTATTTCAATATCCCAATGATTGTTTTCTACATTTTTCAGCATGTAGGGCGAAGCAGGTCCTGTTTGCATCACCTTTGATATTATTATAAAAAATAGTTATAATATATTAATAAGTGTTTTATTAGTTTTAAGAATTATTTATTAGTTTTAAGAGTTGTATTTTCTCATTATAAAAATTGTGTCTTTCACAAAAATATAAGATTAGTTTTCATTTTCCAAAATGCAACTATTGAGATGTGTTTTAACTAGTGGAAAAGTTTTTAATGTAGTTAAAAATATCCCAATAAGTGTTTTCTACATAGTTTTAACGTGCACTATTTGATTTTTTTTTAAAAATGTAGTTATAATATCTTCATCAGTGTCTTTATTAGTTTTAAAAATTGTGTCTTTTTATTATAAGAGTTGTGTATTTTCATTAAAAACTGCGATTAATTTTGATTTCTCAACTGCAATTATTCAAAAACATTAAAAGTAGTTAAAAAATATCAATCAATAAATGTCTTTCTATAATTATTAGTTTTAAGATTTGAGTCTTCTCATTATAAAAGACCAATTTACTTTTAAGAGTCCTTAAAATATCTCAATAAGTGTCTCTTCGGTAATTATGTGTCTTTTCATACTAAAGTGTCTTTTTGTAATGTGTTTATTCATAATATATTATAAATTATAATAACTATATGCTTTTGAATCCAAACAGATATTAAAGGCTGTGTCTTTCGTCTTTAAAATGTGTCTTTTCATTTTAGAAGTTACATTCATTTAAAAGATGTTATCAAAATATATAAGTATTATCTTTTAATTTTAATAATTATATTACTTTAAAAGTTATTTAAACGATGTTTTTCTTCCTAATAACTGCATTGGTTTTAAAATATTTATTTATGCATCAGTTTGATATATATGCTATTTATTTAGTGAATCAGTGCAATGTTTGGTGAAAATTGTGTGGGTGATATGTTAAGGAGAATATGTTAAGGGAAAATATCACCGCCCCAACAGACCTTGTAGATTGCTACTCGAGCGCCGCGGCCCATCCCCAAGCATTGCCGGTAGAGAACCCTAGCAGATTAGCGCCATTCATGACGGATCCTGCCGCGGTTGATGACGTGTGGGTTCCATGACCGTAGTTGTCTCTTGGAGATTTTGACTCTTTGGATTCGTCAATGGGTCCATACTTTTCTTCGTAACCACGCAAAGAATCTAGCTCCGACTAGCTTGTGGTTACAAAGTGTAGATGGGAAGTTAGCCCCAGCCTCGCATGTGCCTTTCCACGTAAACGGGATGGGTCCGTATCCGTAGTCTGAGTAGCTCTTGCTCTCCGGCCAAACCCCCGTGTCCAGAACTCCTATGACAATGTCGCTCTCTCCAGGGAATAAGGCTGTGTTTTGCACTTCCAGAGACTCCAGACAGAGGAACAGTGGAGTCCTAGTCGTGTGCTATCTGTACTCTCGCTCTGGGAGAATCGAGATGACCCCATGTTGAGTCAGGAGCGACTCCACTTCTTCTGGAGTAAGGCGACATGCGAATCCGTGGATCGCATTGCTGTAGGTGTATAGCACTTCGGCAGATTCTCTGACGGTCCTGAGAGAGGACTCGTACCAAAGAGAATGTTGCTTGAAGCTTGAGGGCATCTGATCTTTCTCCATGTGAACTATGTAAGTTGCATGTTGAGCACGGCATAAACCCAAATGAAGAAGAAGAAGAAGGAAAAAAGTGTAGAACATCATCTTTTGTAAGTGACAGTGAGGAGAATGATAAACGAATGTTTGATACCCATATGATTTGTATGAGGGGACTGAGAGGATTTCGCTTGTTAGTGCGAAGAAAATAGTGGTTGAGTTCGGTCTTTGTGCTTATTGAGTTTAGTTTCATTCTACTAATTCTTCATAGACAAGATATCCTCTAAATAGTTATGTCTTTAACAGCGAATAAATTTATGATTACAATAACTATTTAGAGGATATCTTGCATATGAAAGATTACAATAGTTGTAACTCAATTCTAGGACCGTCTCAAATAAATTTTAGACCATGTTCAAAAAAAAAATTAATGATATATTTATGATTTAATAATTTTTTTAAAAAGTTAATAACAATGTTTGATGTTTCTTTAAAACTATAGGTTCTAATTTAGCAATATATCTATTTTTTAAAAAAAAAATATTATAATTTATCTATATATTTCTCAAAAATTCTTACTTTTTCCTTATTTTTTTCTTTCTATTTTTATATTTGGAGCCTTGTTCGACCGCTCCACTTACACATGCTATTAGACGGTCCTGCTCAATTCAATAAAGGTAGAATAGGAAGTCATCACGATTTTAGTTAATATTTTGTACCCTAATTAAAATGAATATTCGACACTGATTTTCTTAAATTATTATTACCGTGTTTTTAGTTAAGAAAAATCGATTTAGGAAAATTCATATTAATTCAGGAAAAGAAAAATAATATTTATTGTTAGATTTATCAAATATTCTGGCATTGTAAATGAAGTGTCTCTTGGAACATTAAAAGTCAAAATGGCAGCGTTCTGTTTTGGAGCATACCAATTTTTCTTTTACAGAGTGCTGCAAAACAGAGTGTTGCCGTTTTGACTTTTAATTCCAAGAGACACTTCTCAGGGAGACAAACCAATCTTACCTTCTCATCGCTCAGCTGTGATAAATGGATTCAGAAAAAACAATCAAGAAGTTGCTCAAGAGCAAAATAAAAGACCCAAAGCACATGAAGAAGAGTGTAGCAGTATCAAAAGATGATTCTGTGGAGAGATATTCTCTTCTGTTGGAGCAGAGTTTTAGAGGAAAAGGTGGTGACTTGCGTTCCAAGAGTTTAAAACTTACACATGAAGAGAGAAATAGCGATCTGAGAGATGATCATAAACCACAATTCTTCATTGTCTAGCCTTGATGTTCTTGGGTCATTTCTTACCGAACTTTCCCGAGAGCGAGAGACAGTAGTGTAAAGATGTCTCTAGACCTAGATACTAACTTGGGACCCAAGAAATCATTATTGTTACTCTCACCAGGTAAGATCTTGACAGAAACAGTTCATGATATGATGGGAGAAAATTATGAAAAACACTAATTCTATGGGGATGCTTGTTCTACAGGTTTAGGTCAAAGTTCTTTAGAGATTTACAGCCATGAAGAAGATGAAGATGTTGCTGGAATCAAATGAGAATTGAATGTGTTCACACCATAAAGAAAGCCCAGAGACGACGTCAGTGAAAGCACCTGCACTGCTCCCAGCAGCTA